AATCTTCAATTTGGTTCTTAAACTATTATATGGATTTTTGATTTAGTCCCTGAACTAAAAAAATTTTTAATTTGATCCTTGAATTATTGTATGAACCCTCGATTTGGTTTTCATTGTTTATCAATTTACTCCAAATTAGTCTTTCTGTACAAAAAAAACTGACATATCTAATATTTAACAACACAAAATAATAACTTAATGATAAAAAATAATAACTTAACAGTCACATGTCATATTAATAACGAAACACATCAGTTGTTTTTATATAGAATAATTAACTTGAAGTAAATTGGTAAACGGTTGGTAAATAATAGAGAACAAATCGAGGATCTATACAATAGTTTAGAAATTAAATTAAAATTTTTTTTAATTTAAAAACTAAATCAAAAAATTAATATAATAATTTAGAAATCAAATTAAAAATTTAACCTATATTATATTGTAAATAAACAGTCATTTTCAATTCTCCAAAGCAAAGTGCAAACACCCCGACTTGTTAAAGGAGTTTTAATTTCTGACTTGTTAGAGAAGTATTAAGTCTATTGACTCTTTCCGTGTCCGACAATTTATTACCAGGCTTACGTGTACTTTTTGTCGTAGCATGGTCATGGCCCCCATCCAATTGTAACATTCCATCCAGACTAGTATAATTTTAGTAAAAGTTGAGGTCAAAAATATTCTTTTAATAGTTAAAAGTAATGCAAATCAATCCCTTTACTTGACAAAACCCACTAATCAGGTCTTCTGCTGATAATGACATCATCAAATATCATCTTTTTCGTCTACATCCTTGTTACTCCGTTACCAAGGAATGGCTCGGTGCCAATATGACATGGGGTGGGTGATGTGGGCAACTTAAATTACAAAATTATTAAAAAGTTTTCATCTAGTTCCTTTTCTTCCATTCATCTTCTCTCTCCTACCTTGCGTTCTCTCTCTCTTCCTATTATAGATATACTTTTTTTTTTTCTAAAAGTTCAAGCTAAATTTTTCTTTAAATAGTCTAAATCTAAAAAATTATTAAAAAACCTTCAAAATATTAAAAATATAAAAATTAAGAAAAAATTTAAAATCAAAACCAAAACTTGTGGTTTTGCCAACATTAAGTGATTTGTTTATCAAGTCTCTATCATTAGTAACTCAAAATCCTAATCTAAATAAAAAACCTTCTATAGTAAAGAGGCACATATAAATCCATAATTTTTTTCTTTTTTTTTTCCAATTTGTGTTTTTCTTAAAAAAATATATGAATTCATTTTTAAGATATTTTTCTAAAAAAATAAATATTACATGTACGTTTATATAAAATAAAATCAATAAATTTTGAGTTATTGAAGATGGAGACTCAATAAACAAATCATTTGATGTCGATAAAGCAATAAATTTTTATTTTAATTTCAAACTTTTTATTTATTTTTATATTTTTATATTATGAGAGTTTTTTTCTTAATTTTTTGAATTTAAACTTATCCAAAAAAAAATTTAACTTGAACTTTTGGGGAAAAAAGTAGATTTGTAATAGGAAGAAAGAGAATGTAAAACAACAAGAGAAGACGGATAGGAGAAAAGGAAGAAGAAGAGGACTCTTTAGTAATTTTATAGTTTAAATTGACTACATCACTCACCCGATATCAGCACCAAGCCATTTCTCCCTGACGGAGTGACAAAGATGTAGATGAAAAGATGACATTTGATGATGTCATCATCAGCGGATGGGTCGACACGTGGATTGTCAAGTAAAGGGGCTGATTTGCAGTACTTTTAAGTAAAGGGGCTGATATGCCACAACACTAGAAGTAGAGAGGCTGAATTGCACCTTCTGCCTAATTGGAACGGAGAGACTAGCAGACTAAGACTTGGTCGTCAACGCCTGCTTCCTGCCACGTATTTTCGGTAGTTCACTTTCCTCTTTCCTAGAAAATTCAAGACACAGATGGATGTGGGCCATTGACTCGAGGTACGTTAGAGACTAGTAGACAAAGACTTGACCGTCAACCCCTGGTCCCCTGCTTCCTTGCACTTATTTTCGGTAGTTGTCTTTTCATTTTCCTAGAAAATTCAAAGACAGGGGGAATGGATGTGATCCATTGACACGAGGTACGCTCTAAATTACTGAACAACATGAAGCACAATCGCTCCATATATTATTAAATTGTTATTACAAACAAAAGTTTCCGTGTTTCTGCTTCAAAGTTAAAGTCCATAAAGCATGTACTACTTCGTTTGACCCGTGAATGACCGGCTATCGTGTTTTCCTCATCTATTTGAAATGGTATGCGGAAATATTAGTATTAATAATTTAGATAAAATTAATAACTAATAATTGAGATTATATAAATATAAGAATATTTTTAAAAAAAATTAATGAAAGAATTACTTTTTTAATATTAATTGAAATAAATCTGTCAAAAAATTTTAATTAAAAATACTATATTTTAATTTTATTATTTAAAAATTAATTAAATGTTAGTGTTAAATTAGCACATGAATTTTGTCTGCTGGAGCCCCCCTAAATAGGTGAGTGTGAAAAAAACGAAAAGTAGCTGCTGAGTTGGAGTTAACTTGACACCATAATATAAATATTGACACTGATATATCAAAATATGGCACAACACAAAAACTCCTCAAATTTGTTGACTTAAAAAAAAAAAAAAACTCCTCAAATTTGTTAATGCGGTCTTGACATTGACGAAGGTGGTGTTGACATCCAACCCATGTTGGGGGTTTCCTTTTCTATAGAGTTTAGAAAAAATCAATTAAAATTAGTGCACAAAAAATTGGCAAACAAATTTTAAAAGAACATTGAAGTAGTGGGAAGAATTTTTCCAAAATAATTTACTGACAATTAAAATAATTGAATTCTTTGCTTTTTTTTATTATTTTTAGATTGGTGTAAAAATATTATTAGTTAATTATCAATAAGTTATTTTTGAAGGAATTCTTCCCATTACTTCAGTTTTTTTTAGGATTTGTTTACTAATTTTTTATGCACTAATTTTAGTTAATTTTTCTAAACTCCATAGAGAAAGAAACCCCCCAACAAGGGTTGGATGCCAACACCACCTTTTTTAGTGTCGACACCATCCATTAACAGTATCACGTTGAGTGAAATTTGATACGCAAATGTCTTCTACATTATTGTGGTGTCGATACTTTTGTTGCATTATCCAAATTAACTCCAAGTCAACTGTTGCTTTTCATTTTTTGTCACACGTGAGCAATTTCGGTGGGGTCCAGAGGTATAATTCATTTGCTAATGTGATGTCCACATTCAATTAACTTTTAAATAATAAAAGCAAAAGGTCTTAATTAAAAATTTTTTTAAAATGATAATTTTGATTAATTTTTAAAAAATAATACCCTTAATTAAGAAGTTTTGAAAAAGTAATGCTTTTGTATGTGTGAAATCTCGTTAATAATTAATATATGATAATTAATTATTATTAAAGTTCAATTTTTATGACTCATTGAATGAGCAACCATCATGTTTCACTCATCTATATGCAATAATAGTGTATGGAGATGTTTAGATTAATACCTTAAATGAAGTTAGTATTTGTTAATTAATGTCTGATAGTTGATTGTTATTAAAGTTTATAGTTTGTTCAACTCGTGAATGATAAGCCATTGTGTTTTACTCATCTCTTTATAGTAGTGTATAGAGATGTTTGTGTTAATGATTTAGATGAAGTTGGTAGTTAATAATTAATATTTGATAATTGATTGTTATTAAAGTTTATAATTTAAAATTTTTAATCCATTTAATTAGAAAAAATAGTTAAAAATTATTTTTAAATCAATAATGTAAACATTTTTATTAAAAATATGTTAGCTCAAAGGGTGTTTAAAGTTATTGAGACTTTGATTCTCATTTTATATTCTCAAGATATGTTGGAGGGTGTGCTTTCATCCACTAAAATATAATTTCATTAATTGTTGTGATACTATTATAGCAGTTGTAATACATGTTGATGTAAGGCTACTAAAATATGAGATATTTAAGAAAGTGGCAGGTTAATATCATATATTTGTTTTATTTTTATCTAAGTTGATCATGTCATTTCTAAAACCTCTTTTTTTTTTTTTTCACATATTGTAACTAAAATTATGCTTTTATTGGTTTCTATATGACGAGTTTAAAGACAATTAATTGTATGTGTATATGATTGACAATTTATAGTTTTGGAGACTTAATCTTTTTTAACATAATCATTTTTTTGAACAAGTATAAATTTGTGGAGGGAGATTTAAAACCTAACACCTAAGTTTGGGAATGCGCCTTTCTTATGGTTTGTAGGTAAATTGACCTTCTGAGTCAGGTGCTTTCTTAGCATAACTGTATGTGCATGTTATTGATATATTTTATACCCAATCACTTAATATAACAAAGGCACAACTAAAAGAAAATTGACTTGTTGTCATCTACTTTTTCTTTTTCTTTTTTTTTTAAACAGTGTACAATTTGGGGGATGGGGGAAGAGAAATTTTCAAGGCGTTGGTGGGGTTCGAGACCCAACCAACTAACCTAAACGTTTTAAAGCTTGAGGATAAACCATTTGGACCTAAATGCCAAATTTTTCTTTTAAATGACTATTTACGGTAAATGAATGATCTTCAACTATTATTTTATATTCTCTTTTTTACTCTAGTATAATACCTTATTACTTAATTTAAAGCTAAAAAGTACTTTTGTATTACTTTAATATAAGACTAGTCTTCCGAGCTTCTCTTTTCATTACCTTCACAT